GTGTTTTTGTGCTGCATTCAGTGCTGTTTGTGGATGTGGGCTCAGATTACTAATAGCAGACTGGGCTCTTGCGGGTCTACGATGGAGCTTCCCTACCTGTCCATCAGTTGTTACGAGCTTGGGTTGCATCCAAACTGCTACATCATTATCCATTATTTAACTGAAGTTTGAAACTCTTGTGTACACCATACTGAAGTGCTAGTTATAAAAGCAGTCCATGTGCTTTTCATAATTTTTGTAAGATTGGTTTAATTTTATTTTGTTAATTTTCAGATTTTTTTGTTCCACTCTGTGTTATTACAACTGTAAATAAGTGTATTCTTGTGTATGGTTTCTTTTTTTTTTTTAACCACCTTATCTTCTAGAGCTGGTTTTAATTAGAAGAAGAGTTATTACAAACAAAAATTAGGAGAGGACAGATATAGTCTAATGTGGCAGGCTGTGATGGTAATCAGTATTATCAAAAGATTTGGTGGAACTGACCCTCTGCTTAGGAGAAGGGAAACAATTTTGTGGCTGTTCTCTGTTTAAAAGATATCACAAATTGTATGTTGTGGGCAATTTACTGAATAGATACTCTAGGGGAGAGATAACCTGACAGAAATCTAGTAATTCTGAGAAGGGTTGTAATTCTGTAACTGTGAAGAGTTAATGTTACAGTTAGAAAATACACACCAAAAATAAAAAACATCTCTTAATGATATCTTGAGTGTTGGATAAGTCAGAATGAGCAAGAACAAATGAATTTCAGTGCATGCTTGAATTTATCTCAGGCTTTGAATCTGACCTTTTTCAAAATGGGGAAAGCTGAATCTTCATGCCATTATTTCTCAGAACAAGTTTTTTATTCCTTTTGTTGGTTTGAAAGCATGGAAAAGTTGATGAAAACCTTACAACTAAACAAGCAGCTGGGAAATTTTTTGTGTTTAATCATTGGGAAAGTTAGGAAACTTTCAGGTACTTTCCTGAATTCTTGGAGGTTTTACTGTTATTGTTTCCGCATATCAAAAGTGAAGAACTTTCCTCACAAAGAGTCAGAGACTGAGTTGTGATTTAATTTATTAATCAAGCTGTGCAGCTGAAGCGGGCAATACAGTAACCCACAGCGGAGACACCATACTGTGTATCCTGATTTGTTCTGGCGCTTCTTGTATAGGTCTTTATACAGGATTAATCCTAATAGCATTAGCGTAGTAAGACATATTGCTAAATAGACTTAGACTAAGACCTAAAACAAACAAAAAAATCCTTTGGACATTGCTATTAAATAGCTGACATGACATCAACCTCTTTAACCAATTCCCTGCTTTTTTTCAGACATCATTTTGGACAAAAGGGAAACTAAGCAATAGATTACCAGGGACCATGATAGTACCGTCAGCCTTTTGAATTCAAGGCTGTTGCCATCCAGTTACTCATCCTTATTCAGAAGGTTGTAACGAATGTGGTATAGTCTTAAACTGATAGTTAAAAAGCAGATTTGATCATTTTAACGCTTGTGTTTAACAAGCTTTTTATTTCAGTCAAAAGTACCCAATGGTATAATGCATCTTAGATAGTTTTAAGGTGATTTAATATCTTAAATACTGATATTTGTAATGAACCTGAAGACATACTATCAGTAAATTTAAAATAAATGTGAATGCTGAAGAAAGGATTTAAATTTGACGCTAGTCTTTTTAATGGTTTTGAGGCAAGTATTTCCATAAATTAGAAGGGTTGTATCTAAAACCGTGTCTTTCTGTTTGATATACCGTGTGGGTGGTTTCAAAAATCAGCTGCAGTTAAAATGAAAACCCGTAGTAGAATGCTCTGCTAATTTAATTTTGCTAAATGATTCTTTTTTTTAATCACCATATTACATTGTGATAAATGGTTCATATGATCAGTTTAAAGGCCGATTTAAATTTCAGCAGGTTGTTTCATTTCTGTCGTGTATTGTTTACTTCCATTGTCAAGTGTAAATACTTTTCATTGATATAATCAGTTTACATAGTAATTTCAAGCACAATAAAGTACCACTTGTTCAAGGCTAAGCATACCTTTTTCACTTGAAGTATAGAGCTACTGCTTCTAAAATAAGTAGTGATCTTAGATACATTGGTTTTTAAGTGGTTTGCTCTGACTGTTGAAATACCTGTGAACTTCTGAATACTAATTGTGGAAGAAGCCATTTCTTTTGCAAATGATCAGAAGTCAAAGCTGGGGTACGGTAGGAACAAGGTATATGTTCCTATGCCTCAAAATAGAGAGGAGGTTTAATTTGGGAGCCTGGGTTTATAGAGACGTGTTCTGTGCTGCTGCTGCTAACAGGGTCTCGGGGGGCTGTGATTGTGGCACCTGCCTCAGTGTTGCCCACACGTTTCACAAGGCGTCTAGGCCAAAAAAACCGGCTGATCTGACTCCCGCTCTGCTCTCCATGCTAAAAGGGATGAGTACAGGTGATTGCTGTGATCATAGTACCAGGGTCATGGTATGTAACCACAGTGAAAAGCAGTGCTATGAAAGTTTATGGGAATGCTTTTGGCATTCATCACGTGCATAACATAATTTTTGAACTGCATGTGTGGCAGTCGATTTTTTTAGGGGCAGGGATTGTGTCATCTACGTGAGTTATCCATGGATACCTCATGGCTGCTATCTGAAAGGCTGCTGGTCTTTAAGGTGTGCATTATGCACCGTTCATTGATCTTCCCTGGGTGTTGGCAAGCCCTGGCTGTGAGGTGGCTTGTTGCCTTCCCCATCTGTCCATTGCTGCTTTCCAAACAGGGCTTATGACCCTCCTTGTGGCCAGTCTGGCATTTGTTTTCTCTAGACAGGAAAAGGAAGGGTGAGATAGACGAGGTGAAATAAAGAGGGGGGGAAAAAAAAAAAAAAAAAAGAAGCCCTTCTGGAAGTTATCTGCCTGTCCCAAGGTAGTACATTGTGCTGATGCCATCTGCTTCATGCAAGACCGGGTTCCAGTTGATGTCCTCTAAGCAAAGCCTGGTTCTGTCTCCCTGTATGGTGCTGGAGCTGTGACTAAGCCGTTCAGCTGCCAGGCATCGTCTGGCTGTGAGGGCGACGGTGGTGGGGGAGCCCCTATTTTGAACAGCGAGGAAGACAGGCAGCAGCCTCCTTAGGTGTGTACAACACTCCCAGGGGTTTCTGTGGCCAAAGCTACAGCTTAGGTGGGACTAAGGAGGACTTAACTACAGAAGAATAGGCTGGAGGGCGTCATGCCTAGAAGATTTCTTTTCTAGTTTTCAGTGGCATGAGCTATCCTAGACAGGCGGCCAACATAATGCATGGGAATGTATTTCACCATAAGTTTTTAAGCTTACAGTGGCATTATTCGTCTGTCTGCCATTGCTGTCAGGAAAAACTTCCCTCCGTCAAGGTGTTGCATCTTTGCTCTTTCTGTGCAGTTATTAGTAAGGCCTTGGGAACCTGAAATCCCCAGGTTGTCCCATGTTTCTCCTCTGTTTTCCCTGTGTAATGACACCATAAATGAGGGGATGTTCCACAGCCTCTTGATGCATCAGTCTACTCTGTTGTGCTGCCATGTAGATATCTGGCAATGCAAGATGTTGTCTGATGGGGGGGATCAGGCCCATAGCAGAGTGTGGACTATATGAAATCAAGGCAGCATTTCTCATCAAGCATTACTTTTGCGTTTCTGAACAGGAAACATTCAGCTTTTGCCTAAAAATTGAAATATTCCTTAATTTTTTATGGGTGCTTTTATTTATTTTTTTTTTTATAAAAATGAACTATTTTTTACGGAAACCATACCTTTCATGGAAATAAAACGTATGAATGGAAAGTAAAACCTAACAAAATGCAGTTTTGAATTAAAATATATATCATCTTTACAAAGCACAGACATTTTATGAGGAGCTATAGCAACTGAACTAGTTGCTGAAAGAACACATTAGAGATAGCCTTGAATTTGAACATGGAAAAGTTTAATACTGCATAGCCTCAGTCTTCAGACGCTTAGTTACTGCTTACTCCCTCTGTAGAAATTATGCTGCAACTGTTATTGTGTCTAAAATGCTATGCCTGTTGTCTTGTACCTCTGAAATGTTAGAGGAACAAATGGGGTAGCTGGCAGATATGGGAAGCTGTGAGTGGTAACTGAAAGTGTGAGTGCCTCACATGGTTGTAAGGTGAATATTTTGGTTTGAAACTGAAGATGCTGGAAGGTAATTACTAAGAATCAGTTTCCTGATAGCATTGCTGGCTCATAATAATACACCTATTTTGTGATAGCCTGTTTAATTTTGTTATTTTCCTCTTTTTGTGGTCTTTCCTGTAATAGAGCTTTTTTTTTTTTTTTTGGCTGTAAAGTTGCAGGATAAATCCATGAAAATGAATAAACCATGGTTCTGAAAATGAGTAGGATTTGACTATTAAAGTTGTCTATAAAATGCCAAGGCAAATAGTAGGAACATGTTGGAAAGGTGTAAAATTTCAAGTGAAAAAAGAGATGCCTGATAGATTGCAGTTCTATGCCATTGCAGGCTTTGGTACTGGATATTACAGCACTGTATTGACACATTTACCATTTGACCTTTCTGTACCTGGAATGTACCTGCCTTGATCCTTCTGGTTTCTGCACTAATGGATTTAAGACACCATGGTACTCCAGCTGTACTCATTGATGTGCTTTTCAGTTTCCATAAAACACTTCTATTTTAAGGTATTTTAGTTTAGTCTTTATTCAGCACATGACTATACCAAGACAATGCAGTTAAACATAGTCTTCTTCACTCTATTTGAAACAAATTTTGGCTGGTTGGTCTCTGCTGGGTGAATGGGTGGTATTTAGGCTCATTACAGGAACCTATTCATGTTGTTTCTGCAAGGTATGACAATATTTTTGGAGTAAATACTTCTAAGACAAACCCAGTAAACTATGAAAGAGTTCTGTACAATGTAGGAAAGCGAGCTGGGGTGCATTTGACTTTCTAGCATGTGTAAATATTTACTGTTCGGCTTTGTGCTTCTTCTTCTAGACATTACCCAAAGCAGTCCTTCACTACAGTGGCTGATACACCAGAAAATCTTCGCCTGAAGCAACAAAGTGAATTGCAAAGTCAGGTAAATCAAATAATTCTTTTGTCTCATTAATATTAGACTGTCACTTCACTTCTCTAGTTTTTCAAAGCAGTGTTAGTATTTCTTTGTGTGCCCAGGTGGCCAAGAAGGCCAACAGCATCCTGGCTTGTATCAGGAATAGTGTGTCCAGCAGGAGCAGGGAAGTGATCATCCCTCTGTACTTGGCACTGGTGAGGCTGCACCTGGAATACTGTGTCCAGTTTTGGGCCCCTCAATACAAGAAGGTCATTGAGGTGCTGGAGCATGTCTGGAAAAGAGAAGGCTGAGGGGAGACCTTATTGCTCTCTACAGCTACCTGAAAGGAGGTTGCAGTAAGGTGGGTGTTGGTTTCTTCTCCCAAGTAAGTAGTGATAGGACAAGAGGAAATGGCCTCAAGTTGCATTAGGGGAGGTTTAGTTTGGATATTAGGAAAAATTTCTTCACGGAAAGAGTGGTCAAGCATTGGAACAGGCTGCCCAGAGAGGTGGTGGAGTCCCCATCCCTGGAGGTGTTCAAAAAACAGGTAGACGTGGCACTTTGAGACATGGTTTAGTAGGCATGGTGGTGTTGGGTTGATGGTTGGACTGATGATCTTACAGCTCCTTTCCAACCTTTGTGATTCCTAGTTTTTACTTTCATTAAAAAATAATCCAGCCACCAAGCCAGGAACATGAAACTAATTATCACTCTACCCTTAACTGTTTTAGTGGCGGACTTGGTAGTGTTATGTTAATGATTGGACTTGATGATCTTAAAGGTCTTTTCCTACCTAAATGATTCTATGATACATAGTAGCACTCTAATGTAATTGTAAAAAGTATTCGTAGGTTGGTATAACACTGCAAAACTCAGGGTTTTATTTCTGATCTCACTTATACTAGTTACCATAGTATTGTAAGTCTGTTGACATCACTGAAATACTTCGTAAACTGTTGAAAATGAAGGATCTAAGTAATTTTTAATGTTTGAAATGTTATAGCTCAACCCAGAGAGTTCACTTGCCTTTGATAAACTGTCATTGTTAGCTTGCATCAAACTTAATCATAAAATAGCTGTGTGATTAGCAAACAATTAGTCATTAGCAAACATTTAGAAGCCTTTAATACTTGTCAACACTAAACTGACTGAACAATCAGTTTATGATCTGTTATGTCCTCTGTGAACTCATATACGGAGCAGTCTGTAAGCCAGTTGTGATAAATATGTTATCAATCAAAAACTCTGTAGGTTAATAAGAAATACATTGAAATTAAAATGTAAAAAAAAGGGGGGGGGGGGGGAGAAAAAAGGGGGGGGGGAGAAGAAAATGGCGCTGAAGACTTCTGTGACACAAACATGATGTTTATTTACTATTGTTACCCCATAGTCTGTAACATACAGTTCTTATTGTTATTAATTCCTTAATATCTGGGCAGCCTCCCTTTTCCCCCCAATATCACTAATATCACTTTCCTATTGTTTGATTTCATGCAACACTGGAAGTTAGCCTGGCTGTGTGAGACAATTGATAATATTTGATTGCTTCTTATTTTGTAAAAGTTGTGTGGGTTTTTTTTTTTTTTTTTTACTGTTGTGGTTTTAGTCTGGATTTAGTGGCAATCTCTCGTTATAAATTGATAATTATCATTGTCAATTAATGTAATAAAAACCTGTAGCGGAAAACAGACAGTAGGCAACAAGAGGTTTCTTGTTTGTGAACCTCTCTGTAGGTTAATGGGTAAAATCAAAGGAGGGCTAAAGAGATATGCTAGCACAGGTATTTATGATGATATAAATTTTAAAAAATTCTTTACCTTTTACCTTTTACCAGTTATTGATTAGAAAACTTAGAGAAATTCTTTCATGCTGAGATTCTGCCGTCTGGAAAGAAGAAAGTTTGTAGAATGTACATGTCCTCTTGACTTCAGTCGATTTTAGAGTGGAGTTGCTTCATTTTCTTGTAGTCCAGTGGTTCTGTGTACCATAGTTACCACTCTGTCAGAGAGTTAAGAGGAACTTGTAAACTATACTTTTACAGGTCTGTTTAAAAGAATATAAACTTTGAGCCCACTGTTTTTCTAGTGGTTTGATAGAAAATCTTGGAATTCAGGAGAACAATAAAATTTTACTCATCTGTCAGTTTTTCACTGGATTGTCTTGTGTATCTGCACACGCACCCATGTGCACACGGATATATACAAATCTGAGTCCAAAACTTAAAGCAATCGGGTGTATGCTTTGCCTATGGCTACCTCTGTCTGCTTATCCCCAGGATATGAGTTACACCATGGGTGAGTTTGCCCACTGGGACTTTATAAGGGTTCAGCTACACGAATAATTTGGTGACAGCTCTCTGGTACAGTGGCAGAGTGGAAGAGAAGCCAGCTGACTTCCTCACAGCTACATCACCTGCCTTGGGAGCCCATGGTGAAAAAAGCTGAGACAAAGATTTCAAACCTTGTGCTCACAATTCTATACGTTAACTCTCATGTGAATTGTGAGCCTTAATCTAAAAGGCTCTCAGGGAAGCCTCCAAAGCCATACTTTTTAAAGTAGTGGAAAAAGACAGATCTTAATGGGACTGATTTCTGTAGGCAGGCAGGTTTTAACAGGAGAGCTTGTTCGAAGTTGGTTAAGAAAAGTATGGATGGGAGGAATCCTGTTTGAGTGTTTAGAGAGGACAACTCTCCTGTATGAAGTCCAGATGGATCAGAATCTCATTTAGGAAATATACCTTGTCTTAAAGCAGTCTACTTTCTCCATGGTTATTGTGATAATACTTCTGAGGGACTAGGGGCTGTTGAGAATTGTCAGGGAGGTGTAGAGGTCAACTGGTAGGCATCAGTTTGAGTTAAGATTAATGTAGTAAAGACCGAAATAATTTCTGGTTTATGACTGTGTGCTATCCCCATACATGATGGGCTTGGTACATCTCCAGTTTAGCTCACATGTTCCAAACCTGCCTGTATCAATTGTCTGTATTGGCTAAATGTTGACTAACCCAAGGAGTGTGGTCTATTTCCAGAGCCTATAAGAGAAATGGCTTTCCCTTGCCTATTTGAAATATGCTGACATGGCACTTTAGAAGTGTAAGGAAACTTGTTCTGGTATTGTTCTCTATTTGTAAACAAAGGACTTAGTATTCTAGGACTGGATAAGCAGTATCAATAAGAAGCTTGGAGTTTGCTTATGTATAAACTTGCTGCAACTGTTCACAATGGACTGGCATAAAATGCTAGATAAGGATCTACTCAAAACTTGGAAACAGAGAAGCCCTTAATTTGTACAATGTGCCTTTTTACAAGGTTATTAGGCAGTGAAAGATTTGCAGTCGATGCAAATATAGTTCTAAATTATAAGGGCACAATTTACCTACTTGGAAGAAAAGCCGTAATATTTCTGATCATCATTTCCTTCCTTGGTGTTGATTCACATCAAGACTGCATAAAGTAGCCTAACCTGTAAATTGTTTTAGTGCTGAAATAAATATTCCAGGGACTCTTCATAATCCAATTAAAATCTTGTAATAAAATAAAACTGTAAATTCTGAATAATTTCTGTAATATTTAGAAGAGTATAAGGACAGAGAAATTGCCATCCTGAATCAGCCCTATTGGCCATCTAGTCTATCGTTCTGTCTTTTCAGAGAAAGTTGCAAGACTCCCAGTTGAAACAAATACATGATATATGTACATATATACATGCCATCATTCAGGTCTCATGCTGTTTCAGTGCTGTGTAGTAGGAAAAAAGGGTGTATGTGTTTCAAGAAAAGCCTTTCACGTGAAACCAAACTTAGCTGGATAGAATCACATTATTACTACCTTCCAGTATTCATGAGAGCTGCCTGAGCCTCCTGCCAATGCAGTGACAATTTGGGATTGAACAAATTCTGTGTTAGGTAATGTACAAAATTATGTTAACTTCTGAGTAAAGGAGAAATGCTTTTCTACAGTAATAGGTGCTTTCTACTTTCTAAGTAAACACCTTTAATGCTTTTAGTTCTGAAGAGGCACAACCCTGTGTTTAACGGTAAGACTCCAAGTGTCTTTTCAAAATCCGTAGCTTTAGAACTATTGTTTATCTTACTCAGCAAAGCAGGAGGAATTGGTAAAGGAAACACCATTAAATATTGTGTAAGCTAAAAGACATGTTTTTTTGTAAATTTGTTGTTTTGATTTTCGTTTAAGCAGCAGTTGACAGTGTTTTAAGTTGAAGTGCTGGGTCCTCTATCAAGCATCCATTAAGGTCAGCATCAGGTGCCAGGCTGTCATGTTGACATACCATGACAAGAGCAAAACCAACAAAACCCAAATACCGTTTTCTGGAGGAGTCAATAGAGAATAGATTGCTCTTTAGAATACTTGAAAAATTATGTTGTTAAGAAGTCAAAGGGCAACATTTAAAAGCTTTCCAGAGAATGTTCTCCTTCTATACAATATAATTTCAGAGCTTTTCCCTCCTTTAGCCTTTTGCTTCTATGGGCTTTCATTCAACTCTGTAGTTTGAAGGAGATACAAGTGCATTTTAGGAGAAGCTGTAAGTTTGATTTCCCATTCTGGAAAACTCCCCAGTTCAGTGTGCTTCCTGACTGAAGGAAAATGAGTTTTAAGATCTTTCATCCTCTAAATAAAGAGTATAGACAGGGATCCAGTGTCTCGAATAAGATTTTTCTTTATGTCTCTCTGATGAAAAATCCTCATCTTTGCTTTGTCGGGGGTTAGGGCATTCTCTTACTCCATTAGCATACAATGGATACTTTCCACATGCACTTGCCTCTCCTAGATGAACTCAACTACAGAAGTTTCCGATACGCTCATCTCAGCTATGTTTACTTGCGAATTGCCTTCATGTACCTTAGCTACTGATCTCTCTAACTTATAACAGTGTAAATTGCTCTGCAGCCTTTAGTTCTTGTCTGTGGCAATGCTGTGTAGATCAAAATTAGCAACTCCAGTTGAACTTGCAGAAAGAAATGGAGATGTTCTGCAGCAGTTCTTGGCAGGAAGGATATGGAAGTGTTG